CTTCTAGGAAGACTCAGAGAGTCTTCTGGGAAGACGCAGGAAGTCTTCTGGGAAAATTCAGGAAGTCTTTTGGGGAGACTCAAGAGGCCTTCTGAGAATACTCTGGAACTCTTCTGGGAAGACACTGGAAATCTTCTTCTGGGAAGACGCTGGAAGTCTTCTGGGAAGACACTGGAAGTCTTCTGGGAAAACTCAGGAAGTCTTCTGAGCAGACTCAGGAAGTCTTCTGGGAAGACTCTGGAAGTCCTCTGAGAAGACTCGGATAGTCTTCTGAAAAGACGTAGGAAGTCTTCTAGGAAGACTCAGGAAGTATTCTGGGAAGACTCACGAGGTCTTATGGGAAAACTAAGGAACTAAGACTCTGAAAGCCTTCTGGAAGTCTTCTGGGAAGACTCTGAAATTCTTCTGAGAAGACTCAGCGAGTATTCCGGGAAGACTCAGGAAGTCTTCTAGGAAAACTCAGAGAGTCTTCTGGTAAGACGCAGGAAGTCTTATGGGAAGACTCAGGAAGTCTTCTGGGAAGACGCAAGAAGTCTTCTGGGAAGACACTGGAACTCTTCTGGGAAGACTCTGGAAGTCTTCTGGGAAGACACTGGAAGTCTTCTGGGTAGACTCTGGAAGTCTTCTGAGAAGACTCAGGAAGTCTTCTAGGAACTCTCAGATAGTCTTCTGGGAAGAAGTAGGAAGTCTTCTGGAAAGACTCAGGAAGTCTTCTGGGAAAACTGAAGTGGTCTTCTGGGAAAACTCATGAAGTCTTCTGTGAAGACTCAGGTAGTCTTCTGGGAAGACTCTGGAAGTCGTCTGAGAAGACTCAAGAAGTATTCTGGGAAAGCTCAGGAAGTCGTCCGGAAAGACTTAAGAAGTATTCCGGGAAGACTCTGGAAGTCTTCTGGGAAGACTCAGGAATTATTTTGGGAAGACTCAGGAAGTCTTCCGGGAAGACTCAGAAAGGCTTTCGGGAAGACCCAGAAAGTCTTCTGGGATGACCAAAAAAGTCTTCTGGGAAGATCCAGAAAGTCAACTGGGAAGACCCAGAAAGTCTTCTGGAAAAACCAGAGTGGTACTCTAGGAAGATTTGGGTGGTTTTCTGGAATGATCAAAATTGAAATTTTCCGGAAAACCTGGCTGACTTCTAGGAAGAACTAGATTGCCAACTGGGAATATCTCGAAGGGCTAATGGGAAAACGTTTTTTTTTTCAAGTAGATCTAGGTGGTTTTCAATACATAACCTTGGTGGTTTTCAGGGAAGATCTGAGTGGTTTTCAAGGAATATCTCGATGATCATCCGGGAAATCCACGTAGATCTTCTGGAAAGATCTGGATGGTCTTCTGAGAACTTCTAGAAAGTCCTCTAAGAAGTTTTAAATGGTTATATGAGCAGATCATCTTTATGGGAAATCTCAGACGGTCTTTTAGGAAGATTCAATAGACCTTTTGAAAAGGCTCAGAAGGTCTTCTGGAAATATTGTAGGTTTAAGTGCAATGATTTTTCAAACATGGCAAGTTTGCCGTTACACATTTTACCGAAGGCATCGTGTTCGGAGTGTTAAGCTGCATTATGTAATTCTCTAAATCAAAACGTTCGCATGACTAGTTGCATCATAAACATTTAGGTATCACGTGAAATCTCTTTGAAAGACTCGGGAAATCTTCTGGGAAGATTTAGGCAATCTTCTTTGTAAGCCTAGGTTGTCTTCTGAGAAGAATTTGAATGTAAATTTCAAATCTAGATTTGGATTGACTTCTAGGAAAGTTTGAGGTGGTATTCTGGAAGGATCTAGGCGATTTTACGGGATTTTCTGAAAAGTCCTTGTAAGTCTTCGGGGTTGGCTAAGGAGGTCTTCTAGCAAGACTCAGTTAATCGTTTGAAATGACGGAGTAAGATATTCTGGTTCGACATAAGAGCTCTCTTTGGAAGACAACGTAGGGTTTTGGTGAGACCCAGAAGCTTCTCTGAGAAGAGCGAGTAGGTCTTCTGGAATAACTCTAGTACTCCTAAGGAATGACTCGGAGAAGCTTTTAGGAAGACGACGATTTACGAACGATTTATGGAAAGACTTAGGAGACGTTCTGAGAAGAGTATTCATTAATGATGACACAAATTTCAAATCCTGATCATAAGTTTTTGAATGTCCCATAAAGTCATTTCCATCAATCTTTTCAAGAGATTCATGAATAATTGAAAATAGTTGAAGAACGGAAAAAAAATTCCTTACTAGACGAGAATCCCTAAGAATTTTGCATTAAATTTGTCAGACAACCCGTAGAAAATACGAGAGACGTCTGATGAATTATATTTATGACACTTGAATCCGGGGATGGGTTGCTATATTTAGCTTAAGTGCTCAAGAAACCCTTTGATGTATTGGAACTTTAGAAACTACTTTGGAATTAATCGAAAATGTTTCCTAAAAATCAAGAACACAGTTTGCTAAAAACCTCGGTTTTCTAAATTATTAGAAGGAATGTGGAAAATCTTGGAAAACGACTGTCAACCCAAAAGATTGATTTTTTTTTTCAATTCATTTATTCGGAAGGCTCAATCGCGTTACCTTTACGGAGCCGATGTGTCTTTGTTTGATGTTTAATAAGTATAACTTAATACTACCTCTAGTCGGGATCGGCTGATTTCTCGTGGTTAGAGGGTAACATTTTTAAGGGCACGGGCGAACCCAACAGTTGATTACCCAAAGTGTCGGGACGACATTTTCTAGTTACATAGCAGTGATAATCAGGAATTTACACCATCAATTTGTGAGGTCATCTCCATAGTATGTCATAAGAGTAAAGTTAAGTGACCTGTAATTTTGCGGACTCACTTTTAAGAATCTCGGCAAGGAAGTGAACTGATCGGTTATAATCCCAGACGAAGGCGAACCAGCCTCAGGCTCAAAGCCTCCCTAATAAAGAAAACTTAACTTAACTTATAATCCCAGGAATTCAAATGAGCCGAAAAAACTGGTTCAACATTAATCATTCTCATGAAGGATTTCTTTCAATATTAGAACTAAAATCTAGAACTCCCCGCAAAGAATTTTGCAGAACTTTAGTCAATCATCGCATAGTCGGAATTTTCAATAATTCGTTCGAATTCCAGGCAACTCCGAAAACTTATATCTGTATCAGTTCCTTAAGGTGATACGGTTTGGAAGCCTTTACTCTGATGTCGCTTCACATCTTCTGGAGTATAAATATCAGCTACCAGAACACATACAATATCAAAACTGCTTCCGCAGTTACAAACATAGGAAGAAAGGCTATCTCAACGGTCATATGAGTCTCGGAAATGGTTGATGAAAATTCCTTAAACTTGTTCGTGTCGGAGTGTTGGAACCAACCAAAACTTAATTTAAAGATTTATTGAGGTTTTAAAGCATTATTTATATCTCATTTTCAAAGGTTACGTAAGAACCCTCAAGTTTACCAAAAACAATGTAAAGTGGTCATAATATAAGAAAAAATCTTCTGGATAAAAGATCCAATTTGACAGGCCGAATTATTTCTAATGTATTATTAAATTTATTCCTGCCTAAATTTAAAAAAAGATGCGTTCCTATAAAGCTTGAAATAACAAATTTCACTTGAACCCACCCCTAAATCGGTTCCGAAGTCAGGTTCTTTCAAAATCCCAAATGGGTTCAGAGTCTCATTTGATATAGTCCTGACATACAAACAGGTAAGATTCTTCAGTTGTCTCGTATTTTCAGCTCAGCAATTTAAAGCTCCTGGCGGAACCCTTTCAAAGTGCTTGAGCTGAATTGTAAGGTTCACTCTAGCTTAGTATTCAGTAAAATTCTCAACTGGATTCTCTTTGTAACATTGCATGCTTTACAATGGATTTAAAGAATTCTAAAAGCCTAAATCATGGTCTACAGCACCCTTATTTAAACAAAAACTGTTACTTGGGTCTGCACCAATCATCCCATGTTTCAGTGCAAGTTTTATCGAGGTTTTAATGCATTCTAAAAGTCAAAATCATGGTCTACAGAGGCCTCATAAAACCTAAATTGATACTTGGAATATTCTCATTAGTTCTTGTTCATTTGCATATGAAATTTGGCAAAATTTCATAAGTTAACTCCAGTTTTCTCCACATGCAGGATTCAATCAGAACAAAGGAAAAAATTGTGCTGTCATCAGGAATGTGAAGGATTCTAGCAAATACTTAGTAAATTAAATTAATGTGTCATTAATACAGATTTGTCAGAGTTCACAGATTTTAAGTGCATCGAACAACTAAATATTTTTGTATTTCAAATCATAATTAACAACTAATGCAAGACTGATTTTAATTTTGATTAGCACTAGATGATATCAATACCAATGATTTTTTAATAATTTCTATCTTCAAAGATGAATCTATTAATTTATTTTAGAGGTGTCAACTTTAAATTTGTGGAAGACCAAATGCTTCTTATGTAGAAATGAGGCAGACAACGTTGCTTCTTTATCCTTGTTTGGATTTTTTAATCATATAAAATGTTTGAATTCTGCTACATAACCTTGAATAATATGGTCGGAGTTCTTTATGGGAATTCATAAAGGTTATAGGAGAAATTGCTCTAATGTTGGTCTATGTATCTAATGTAGGGCCCATCGCTAAACAGCTTTTTTCAGAAAATTTAGTCGATTGCTGAATTTATGTATGGGCGCAAATTAAAGGCATTTAGGCCGACATTACATCCATTTCCCCTATATCAAACCAAATCTAACATTATTCAAAATCTACGAGTGGTCGGAAACTGTCGTAATGTGTATAGGTATCTGTCAATGAGTTTAGCTTATTTATTGGGATAAAGACTAATGCACCAATAAAAACTGAACGCCAAGATTCAACCCTGACGACCGTCCATTTTCCAGATCCCACAAATTCCTCCTCTCGAATCATCCACGGTGATGCACGGTACGGCAATGCGTAGCAAATTTACGACCTTCCTGGAATCCAGAGGCGACCAGACTGCCCCTTTCCCGTTCGCTATTTCTACCGCAGACACACTTACCTCACGGTCCAACGATTTTATCACCTTGACGTCGCCACTGGTCGGATCCACCAGAAAGTTGTCCGAACCGAGCAGACCGAACGAAACGTTACCGCCTTCCGGATCGTAGCCCTCCAACCGGTACACGACACTGCCGAGCGGGGTCGTCTCCGACAGGGCCAGGTTGTTCATGTCCTGCGTGAAGACCGGCGGCAAGTTGCAGTGACCTGAAATATTGGGAAAGAAAAAACTAAATTAGAAAAATTTCCACAAGTGGAACTCATGAAAGCTTCCAAGTAAAATAAGGGAGCTTCCTCTTGAGTGAGTGAATCCGATCCAATCTATCATCATTTTACTTCGTTTAATCTCCCATCCCCTCCCATAAGCATCACCCAATACGAAGAAGAATGGTGAACGTCTTTACATACGTTTTAATGCCGGGAAATCGGAGCCAGCGGGAGCCGAAGCGGAAACGAAGCATCAATTTTATTAGGAACTCAGATTTATGTCACACATATGGATACCGTCAGCTTTGCTCCGCTTACCAGCCCAACTCCACCCAAGCCCCACAGTGTGTTCTCCGAAGCGCTCGTCTTTGTTTGATAAGAGGAATGGAATTCATGCGAATGAGAAGGATGCTCTGTAGGAAAAGTTGTAATATCGGAGCCGAGGAATAATGCAGTGTGCAAGAGAAATGAGGTCAATTTAGAAATGGGAAAAGTTTGATCCGGCAAAGGAAGGAGGAAGGAATTTAAGAATCATATTTAAATGTGGAATCAGGCTCGTTGAAGAGGATACTTGCAGCCAACTTCAAAACCTCATATCAAATATCATGCGGTTGGGTCGGAACGTTCGGTTAAATTCGGTTTTATTGTCTTTCCAATAATTTTGTCCGTTTGCTTAATGGTTTGCTATATGGTTAATCATTTCTTATTCTAACGGTTATTTAGAAAGCCATTTATCTGTATGTTTATTCAGTTTTCATGCTACCTGTCCACGTTCCTGGACAGCATTGTATTTGACGTAGGACTACGTCTGTGATTTCTATATGGAGGTACACTTTGTGAAAACCGGAAATGGAATATGTAACAAAATTATGAAAGATTTTGAATGTTAATAACTCAGCTATCTCTGGACCCATTTCAATAATTTTATCACCAATCGATCAGAAATATTTCTACAAATCTGTTAAATTTGACTTTATTATTTTTCAAAAAGTCACTATTGAAAATTGACGCTATGATAATTAAAATTATTACCAACAAATAGACGTCAAAAGCTTCCGAAGACGTTCGCTAGGAGCGCTGTAATAAGCAAAAGAGTTTGTTCCATTACTAAGTGGGCCATGGTTTATGACTGACTTCGCTAGTTTCAAACAACTTAATTACTTGGTGTAGTTTGAGGATGGTTTTTCATTTCAAATTTTAAACGGAGTTGCGAACTTGTGGTTGTTCAATGCTTGATGTAGCACTTTTGCAAGTTGAACGAAGGTTACTCAAATAAAGGAGTATTTCACTGAGTTGAACTGAGAAAATACATTTCCGTAGATACTAGACGTTGTTGATATGTTTCACAAAATTGCGTCTGACAAATTTAACCTTCGAGTAGACTAATGCGTCTGCTCGATCCAGCTGTGTCCAATAAAAATCAATCCCTTGAGCGCATTATAGTGCCTTTGAGTAAATGCAAGAACGGTTAAGAGTTAAGCTGGGCTTAGACAAGGCAAGTCATTGATCAACTCAGTTGAATTCAATTGGCTTGAAAAGTTTTTTTTTTCGAGTGGCTTTTTTGAGTATCCTATGTCTTCTTTGCAAAACTGGTTAGCTCGTAAAATTAGCTTCTCAGTGAAGTTTTAGAAATTAATGTAGCTGCTATTGCAATTTAGGTGGAATTGACTAATAGAATTTTGGAGGTGATAGCGCTGTTTTTACAATTTCCCACTGGAAGAATCCGCCGGTAAATTAACTTTGGTTAAACATATTATCCGGAATAATTTTCTTGCGGAGCTGGGTCTCAAAATGTGCTCAAGCCATAAAAAATATACTAACTTGATACTTGATGGGATACGAATCGCCTTGTTGATTCTGTGCCAAACGAAGTAGTCTTTTCCTCTGGACTCAGTCCTGAGCCAATCGCTTCCAGTCGCCACGAACGTTTAGCGACCTGATGTTCTCCTCAACTGCAAAAAGCCAACGTGTGCGAGGTCTACCCGGGTTCTATGCTGAATATAATCTTTGCTTGTCGTTCTTCTGGCATCCACACTACAGGCCCAGCCCACCGCAGTTTGCCGTGTTTTATAAGCTTCACTATATGCGTACCGTTATACACTTGGTAAAACTCGTGAATCATGCGACGCCGCCAGATGCCATTTGCTTGTTTACCACCGAGTATTGTTCGCAGCACCTTACGCTCGAAGACACCAAATGCTCTCCAGTCATTCTCCTTTAACGTCCACGATTCATTTCGTTTTCGTTTGCAAGCTACGGGACTTCAGATTGTTACACAAATTCTTCCACTACCTCAAATTGTGCACCATCTAACACCACTTCACTACCAAAACCACCGGTTGGATGGTTGCAAGTGCCTTGGATCTAACTGTTGTAGTGATTCTTAACTCGGATGCTGGGTGAACTTCATGGATGGTATGATTGAGGAGGCTGGTCTTTACTGGATGCTCGTGCAGTGGCTTTTTCCCTGGATTGCTGCAGGTGGCTTGTTGTCCCGCTAATGATAGGTGCAAACAAGGTGAACATACACAGGTACGGAATCGTGCCGGATTCCATGATTTGGCCACAATCAAGGAATCGAACCGGGTATTGCAATTCAGCAAGTGCATCTGAGTAATCGGGGTGAGCGGTTGACGTTGCCTAGCAAGACGCAGACTTCGTGGATGATTTCGCAGGAAGGCCAGTGGCCTTCGGCGATCAGCGGCAATAAGGACAAAACATTCCATAAGCCACTTCAGGGGTGGGAGATTATCCTCCTTGATAAAAATCATTGTCCCTACAAATAGGTTGTTCCTATGCCTGGTCCACTTGGTCCTGTTGTGCAGATCAGACAAGTATTGCATCGACCATCTGGACCAAATGTGTTGAACGAAGCCTTGAGCCTGCTGCCACCTAGAGAGACGATCTTGAGGAATATCCTGCAGCCACGGGTCTGCGACAGCCGTCAGCGGTCGCTGGATAATAAAGTGACCTGGAGTCAACACGTTGAGATCGTTTGGGTCACTGCTGATCTGTTTGAGTGGCCTGGAGTTCAGACACGCTTAGATTTGTGCTAGGACAGTATGTAGTTCATCAGGCGTAACCATCTTCAGTTCAATGGTCTTCCTCAGGTGCTGTTTAATTGATTTAACTGCAGCCTCCCACAAGCCGCCAAAGTTTGGGGATTTGGCTGGAATGAACTTAAATTCAACTCCGATGTCAGCAGTGCGTGCAGCTATGGATTGCTGGGATTGTTGGTCTTCAAATAGTTCGCGCGAGCTCATTTAACTCCCGTTTTGCACCCACGAAATTGGAACCTTTATATCGCAGATGATCAAGGTGGGCTCCCTAGTAGCACGCTTGTCACAAATCGGTTGTGGCAACTTCTATACAACTTATATCAGTCATAAACAAGTTGCTGCAACTTATTGTGACGGAAATGTGCTACTCGGGCTTTCCTCGCCTAACCTCGAACCTTTTCAATGCAGCCAAAAATCCTTCCGTGGTGAGATCGGCTACCATTTCCATGTGTACCGCCTTAGTCACCAAGCAAACGAAGATAGCAGCGTAGTACTGGATGGTGGTCCTTTTCCGAAATGGATAGTTTATCAAAAAGGGACCGCAATAGTCTACGCCGACACGTAGAAATGGCGGAGCTGGTGTTACCCGTTCAGCTGGGAGATCAGCCATCAGTTAATCCTGCACGGTTGGTTTGTTCCTGAAGCAGGTTATACATCAATGCACAATCTTCCGAGTAAGACTTCGAGTACTGAGTGGCCAAAACCGTTCGCGAACACTTGCTATCAACAGTTAAGGACCAGCGTGAAGATTTTCGTAGTGGTATCGACGCATGATCATGGATGTTAGCGGATGATCTTTATCCAATAACATAGGATGCTTCCGGCTCCGCGAGATTTGGGAATTCTCCAACCGGCCGCCAACTTGGAATACACCTTCGACCAGCATCGGATTTAATGCATTGATGCGAGAAGTTGGCTTCACCTCCCCATTCCTTTCGAGATCTGCGATTTCCTGAGCCTTCTCGTTCCGCAAACGTCAGTGGATCCGTCTTCTTGGATATTGATCTACGAGCCTGCAGTGCGTTGTACTTGAATCTGAGCAACAATGCAACCAGCTTTTCCACACGATGTAATTAGAGTGTATCCCAAAGATCTCGCTCGGTGGAGTAATTGTAGAAACTGCTGCCACAGTGGATCCTTCCTCGAGAGCCGCCCGATCCAGTTTATCCAGTACAGCTTCTTGCGTTTTCAGGGCACATCTGTTTATCTTTCCTCGACCAATCTGGTTTCATGCCACCATAATGCGTTAGCCTGTAGATCAGCAGGTGAAATGCCGCGAGATAGTGCATCTAGGGGATTCTCTGTTCCTGCCACATGCCACGGTCATATGTTCCATTCCTGGTGAGATGTTGTACCTCCAATATTCTGTTTGCCACGAACATCTGGTAACGTGATGGGGTTGATGACAGCCAGCACCTTACGATCGTAGAATCGGTGTGAAAGTACGGCTGGGTCGATACCTGGATGCTTGCAGATGTCTTTTCGTACGTCGTAGCGGGGCGTCGTAAGTTTCTTCCTCTTCTTTTCTGATTCTGCCAGCGGAGCTACTTTGAATTTAGCAACCAGCAAATTCGAAGTGATTGTTCCGTCGAAGTGTGTGCATCGAACATAAATATGCTCCATAGGCCTTCATTGATCCGTCACAAAAGCCGTCTCGGAATCTGGAGATTTTCTACACTTACGTCTTATACACTTACATTTCATGGTGCTAGTGTACATGTGCATTTCTCGCATATAAAATATCTCAAGTTCTTGACCAGATAGAAAATTACTGTCGTCGGCAAAGTTGTTCAGGCACAAAATTTTTGCTTGTGGACAGTTGTTCAAATTTTTTTCACTACGTAGCGCTAGTGAAATGTGAAATTCTCGTCTGTGATATATCTCGAGATCCTGACCAGATAGAAAGTTACTGTTTTGGGCAAAGTTGTTCAGGAGGTCAAG